TAACACAGAATCCCCTGGAGAGCTTTAAAAACATACAGATGCCAAGGCTGTACCCCAAACCAAAGAAATTGGAATCACTGGGTGTGGGAGCCCAGCACTGGTATTTTAAAAAGCCGCCCTGATGATTCTAATAACATCCCAGGCTGACACACACAGCAAATCCTTTCCTGCCCAGGCACTTAGCTTCTAGTTTCTGGAATAATACTTTTCTCCCACCCTTGGGCAGGTGCCACTTTAAAAGGGGCAAAGTTGAGCGGTGCCAGTCAGAGAATCCAAACCTCAACCCTAGATATACACTGAGCTGCTGAGGGAGAGGGTGGGATGTGGGCTCCGTTTGCTCTGCACATTCCGTATCTCTGTAGTGTTTGCATTTTTATAACAAGTACAACTTTTGTCAGAAAAACTACATAAACGAAAAAGTGAATCTATGTATATATCCCAGCCTTACCATTCTAGCAGCAAGTGACCCCACAGAGGAAATAAAGTCAGTCTGGTAACTCATTTCCCCTTCCCCAGGGTTGTCACCTGGCGGGGGCTTCCAGAATGCCATATCTAGGCATTTTTTGGAGACACAAAGAGGACTATGTGCTTGAGTCTGACATGGAGGCTTGGAGTTGCTTCTTTCCCCAATAATTCACTGTATCTGTCCACTCCGACCCAGAGAGATGTAGAATGAAAGCATAAAGGCAGAGGAAATTATCAGTGGGCTTGGCCCATCCTCACCGATATCAGCTTTGAGTATGGCTTAGATAGCCTGGCGTTCATATTTATCTCATCTGGTCTCATGCAATAGTAGTTGAGTACTGGGTTTGAACCCACACTAATACTTACTTCACCTCCTAGCCCCTTGGTTTCCTCATCCAGAAAGTTGGGATAAGACTAGCATCTAACTCATCTGGTTGTTGTGAGGATTAAATGAAACAAAGCATGGAAAGCACTTAATGTCTGGGACAATGCTAAGTACTCAATAAATGTCAGCAATAACAATACTTAATTAAATTAGAATTTCTGGAAAACAATACTATGATTTTACACATGTATCAAGGCTCAGAGTTTGGCTTGCTGGCAGTGAAACAGGGATTAGAAGTAGGTGTGTCTGATTTCTCATGTCTATACTGTGGGTTCTCATTAGATATGAGGCAGTAGGCCTCAGACGTGTCAGGTCTTTACCTGGATTGGTCCAGCAACGGTGCGTGTCCCAGATGTCCACCTGGGACTGTTACACTCCACCCGCCCTGCACCCCCTATTGGACCAACGCCAGCCGAGGGGCCTGGTCAGGGGAGGTGATCCTGAGGAGGTAACCCCTGGGAGGGGTCTGGCTCTACCTTTTACAGACGGGGAAGCTGAGATGCAGAGATGGGAAGTGATCTGGCCTTTGCCACACCTGGTGGGTGTCAGAACCAGGACTAAGATCTGAGGCCCTGACATCCAGTCCAACAACCTTTCCATTCCACCTGGAGAATTTCTAACTTCAGATGTGGAGCCTCTAATAACTACCTTTTCTCCTTCCACCCTCACCCCCAACATACACACAAAGGCCTCTGACTGAAATCTGGGGAAGGGGAGAAGACTGGCTCTGGAATGGTAGGTTTCCATCTTTCAGTGCATTGTTCCCACTTAAATCAGCACACAGAGAGGAAATGATGGGGAAGGGCGGCAATATAGTGAAAGAGATGTTCCAGAATCTAGAGGGACTCAAGTTTAAATCCCGACCCCACCTGGCACTATCTTAGGCAAGTTACTCTGTGCCTCAGGTTCCTCATCTGTAAAATGGGAATAGTAATAGTATCAGGACCATTGGGTTCTGAGGATTCTTTGTTAAATATGCATAGACTATTTCTGGAAGGAAAAGAAGAAGCTGGTTACTACCAGAGGGGCTGCTGGTAGATAAGAGGAGGGAGACTCATTTTTCACCCTTTGGAGCTCAGGTACCTGAATTTACCCATTCAAAAAATATTTTTTAATGAGTGAGTTGTTACGGTTTTTTTTTTTTTTTTTAGAACGGTGCTGGCACTCAATAAACATTGGTTATTTTTATAAAGAAGCTTTGATAATGCCTGCTCCTCCACCAACACCTCAAGCCACCTCTGTTTCCCAGCTTCAGGTCAAAGGAAAGGCTTCAAACACAAGACGCAGGGGTTAAAAGTGTAGATTTCGGATTCAGATGTGGATTCGAATCCTGTGTCACCCACTTACTAGTTGTGTGATCCTGGGTAAGTCATCAAGCCTCAGTTTCCTTAGTTATGAAAGGAGGCTGATACCACACCGGATTGTCTCCAGGATTTAATGTGATCAGGGCTGAAACTCAGTGAGCACTTCAGGCGTATGGCTCATTGTATCCAAACAACAGGCAGGTGCCACTATTATCCCCATTTTACGGATGAGGAATTGAGGCTCTGAGAGGTTAGGTAACTTGGTCAGAGTCACTCAGCTGGTAACTGTTGAGGCCAGGACATGAACCCAGGCAGTCTGGCTTCAGAGTCGGTGTCCCTAACCACTACCTAACCCTGCCTCTGCTGTGCATGTCTTGTACATAGTACATCTGGCATATGGACAATGTTCTGCAAATTATAGCTGTGGTTATTGCTGATACCAGTAAGATCTTTCTCAGGGCACTTGGTAAAACATTTTAGTGCAGGACTGCTTGACAACTCATCTACACCTTCGTGGGGGCAGCATTTAGCCAAAGAACCATGCAGTGCTCAAAAGGTTGGAAAGTTCTCGCCTCCTTTCTCCTGTATCCACAAAATGCCATAGTCAGTCCTCACAGCAACTAATGTTCCTGCTCCACACGCCTAGTCCCTCCAAGCTGGTTCTGGTGGCCTCAGTCAGCACCCCACAGACAACCCCCAGGCTGCCTGATGAAGCCTAGTGTCCACTGGCTGGGGCAAGGCACCTCAGTGACCATTAGAGCTGAGGGCGAGCCTTCCCCAAATTCTGGCTCAGCAGGCTCCAGACGGCCCCACCTACCCCCACCACAGCCAAACAGCTTTTAGGATAACCCTCTGCAAGGGACAAGCTGTTCTTTCATACTGGTCAATAGTGCACACGTGGGGCCCTGCCAACATGAGGAATTTGTCAGCACCCCCCCAACAAGCCACTTGTAACGACCAACTTTATGGTAATGAAGACCAGGCAGGAATAACTATCATACATTGACTGGATTGTACCTTGGCTTACACATACGCACACACACACACCACACACACACACCATACCACCACATACATACACACACCCCACGACACACACACATCACACCACACACTACCACATACACACATCACCATATATACACACACAAACCCCACCACACACACACAGCACACCACATACACACACACCACCACATACACATACAGTACCACCACACACACCACCCACCACATACACATATCACCACACACATATCACTACACATACATCACCACATACACACACACACACCACCACACACACCACACCACCACATACACACATACGCCACCACATATGCACACATACATGCCCTACAACACACACCATACACACACATACACCACCACACACCACACACACCACCACATACACACCACACACACACACACCATGCCACCACATATACACACCACCACAGACACACACACACTCACACACCCAAGGTTCAGAATCAGCCCCTAGCCCTTACAACATTGGAACCCAGTTGCGTGGGGGTGATGGATCCTGGCCACCGTAGATAATGCACCAAACAGATAATCTGCTTATGAGTAATTGAGCTTATTGTTAGTGTCAATGTCCAAAGCCATCGGCTAAAATTCCAAATGGATTTCCAGGGGAGAAGACCACCCTGCTGCAGAAACAGCTCATGGCCTCATTTCCCACTTTCTGGTTCTCCAGCGCGAGCCTGCAAAGCAACCCAAACACCTGATGTGGTTCCTTCTCTAGGTGCCCTTCCTCCCCTAACACACACCCCTGCACCTGGAGACACAAAGGACACTGGGGAGCAGAGGAAGTTTCAGGAGGTCAGGACCCTACCCCCCACCCCAAAGTGAACTACTGTATGGACCACTCAGGTGATGGGAGCAGCTTTCACTTAAGGTTGAGCTCCAGCTACAGCAACTCCAAATCTGGAAACGTTCCCCGGCCCTACTTACTTCTTCTGCCTCATGGAGGCCCTACCCAGAAAGTTATCAGACTTTGTTTTCTCCAAAAAAAATTGTAGATCAGCCCCACTCCTTCCCAACTGGGGGTGGTTCTGGACTTGGGAAGGTTCTGCTGCTGATGAAAGAAGGCCCTGTGCCCACACAACTGAGAGCATCTCAGTTCAGATCACTAGCTGGTTACATCACGAAGTCCCCAGGAGAGGAGTCAGGACCTGATGCGCCACACCTGCGGCATATGTCCCAGGCCACGTCCTGGGTCACATCATAGGTCAGACCCGGGAGAAGTGAAGGGGTGGCAGCTCAGGGCACGGCCAGCGGCTATTTGGCTGTGAGGGGAGGAAGGAGCCTCAGGTGGACACAAGGCGGTGGGGAGTAGTAAGGGAAAGGGCAACATCTTCCCCGTGGGGAGGGGGTGGAGGGAAGGAAAACAGACTGGGATCAGTGCTAGAACTTCCCCACACAGCCACCCAGAGAGGCCCAGGGCCACCTCTGGACTTGGAGCAGACATTTAGCTGGACCTAGGGGACATCCGCCACACAGAGACCCTGCTCAGGACCCAGGAGCCACCCAGTACTCCTCTCTCACCCCAGGCTCCCTCAGGGTCTGTCTGACATACTTGGCTTTTGCTGTCTCAGGAAGCCTATAACCGGGACCAGCAGGTAGGGCCACATCTGTTAAGCCTCTTGTACCTCCTCACATGGTAGGCGTGCAGCAAATACCTGTCAGCTCAGACAAACTGTTCTTCATGAGAACGTGATCACATCCCCATAGCAGGGGGTGGCAGATGGGAGCCTCATGGAACAGAGGGTGTCCCCAGGAATGGGGGAGTATGGTAGGGAGGGCTCGGGGCTCAGTACCTGTATCCTGTCCTCTGGCAGCTCCGTTTTCATGGCTAGCATCTCCCGGGCATAGACGTCTGGGTAGTGGGCCTCGTTGAATGCCTTCTCCAGCTCCTCTAGCTGGTAGGAGGTAAAGATTGTCCTGAGGGGAGCAAAACAGGACACTCAGGACCCCAGAAACTGAAAAAAAACTGTCCCAAAGAGAAAAAAATGGCCCCTCCCTTATGGCCCCTGGACAAACCCATGCTGGCTCAGCATAATCAACACAAACATCTCCCCCCCCCACCCCGCCACACACATACTCACATACATTCACACACACACACACTCACAGTTTAACTTTCCAGATTCTTCTTTATTCAAGGCTGAGGGCCAACATTACCCTTCATGGGGGAGCATTATTTCAGCCCTCCTGAAATCATTTCTACATTTGGACTCTCTCTGGGGGTGCTTTGGTAAAGAGTGTTAAGGAATAAATTTCAGAAAGCCTTCTTCCTCTTCCCAAGCAGAGAGCAGGCGCTCACCAAGCAAACAAACGTTCCAGCGCCACCCGGGACTGCTTCTTGGGCTCCTCTCACAGATACTACGACTTTTAAAATTGTACTCAGAGTTCCAAAACTCACCAGAAAATCAAATGTAGCTGCAGCCCCAGTGTTTGTACAGGCGACAGCTAGATGGCCCATCCCCTCAACCACCAAAAGCTCCAGCTCTGCTCACCTACATTTCCCCTGCCGCCACCCAGACCTCCCAGCTCCCTAGAGCCTCCCTCAGGTTATTTCCCCTGTTCCCTCCTGCTCTTGGAAGGTAAGTGCCACATTCCAACCTTCCCACACACAGGCTCAGCCACTCACCCAGTGGGGGTCCTATCGAAGGGTTCCATTCAGGTCACCCTGAGAGCCTGCCTGAGCTGTCCCACCGACTCCCTCACCCCCAGCCCCCACCACAGAGCAGTTCATATGGACCTACTGTGGGTCACAAACTGCTTTAAGAACCTGGTAAAAGCTACATTCCCTTACCCTGGGAAATGCGCAAATGAATATACTCCAATACATAAAAACACTTTTTTTCAACACATACAATTTAGCATCTAATATTAGGGGCTCATAGACCCTCTTTCTTGAATAAACCACTAAGCACTCATCTCCAGACACAAATTCTTTTCTTTTCAGACCTTAATTTCACCAGGTTCCATGTGACCTGTATCCTAGACCTTCATCAATAAGCCAAAGGGCAAATATAGTCCGGAGTCTACAAGCTGAATGTATAAAAATGGTACATCCTTTGCTTGGTCCCCTAGGATTTGGACCCTAGGTCCGGCACAGGGGTTTAGAATTCCTCACCATCCTCAACACGAGGAAAAAGTACAAATTTAAGTCCCACACAGTCCTCGTGCTGGTGTCAGTTCTAATATCTTGGGAGACGATGCAAGGGGTGTGTGAGGAAGAAAGATTCTGCTCTTTATAGAAAATGACTGGTTTGATTCTAAATCGTTGCTCCTATTCTCTGGGGGGCGGGGGGAGGTTGCAATGCTTACGTATACAGCAAGTTAATTCTGCAGAACTTGGAAGATCTGTTGCTTTCTATTTCTCTTCTGCTTCTGAGCTTGTTGGCCCCCCCCCCCGAGCAGGTCATCAAAATAAACAATCTAAAAATGCAAACCTTTTTAAAAACTAGGGAAACTTAGGCACACAGGTAGTGCGGCCTGGCCAACGAAAGAGGAGAGCTTATTATAAGTCATTTAGGACCATTCACCAGCCAGCCTCTGCCTGGGAGAGGCCACAATCAAGAAAACCTCAAATCCCCCAAACTTCCCCTAAATTGCAGCACTGCGCTGATCCAAGTGTTAATGTGGATTCCGTCTTCAGGGAGCCTGCCCCCCTCCCCGTACATAGCCCACACCCTGCTCCGGGCTCTGTGCAGGACCCCAGACCTTCCGGCTCCTGTACTATCCTGCCTGCACAGGAGCTGAGCTTTCCGGGGAAAGAGCAGAGCGAAATCCGAAAGACGCCGCCGCTGCCGCTCCAACCCCCCACCCCCCACACTCACCGCAACCCCTGCAAGCCTGGATTGTTTCTAAGAAGATAAAGACCTGCCCATCTTTCATATTTCAGGATCTTTTACCCAAAATCCTCCAATGAGAGAAGGTCAGGAAAATACATTTTTTACTAATTCAAAACGGTAGCTCGCAATCAGCAGCCAGACTTCTGTCTCCAATAATCTGCTCTGCTCCCTTCATGCACCAGCAAACGGTAGAAGCCTAAGGCTGCTGATTCCCTGGTGTGTGCGAGTCGCTGTCCTGCCTCCCTGGGCACCCTCCAAAGCTCCCAAAGGCTTTCTTCATGGAGAGTGTGTTAGGTGAGGGACCTGAAGCCTGGAGTTTGAGCTCTGAGTCATTTAGCTACAAATGCCACACAACGAGATGTCTGTCCTGAGGCAGAAACACAGTCTCTGCATCCAAGATTTGGGGGTGCCTTTCCCAAGGCTCTCTTCCCACCACCCCCACCCCGCACCTGCCCCAGGGCCGTTGCACCTGTCTCAGACGTGCCCTCCCTGCGCAGTCCCTCTCCCTGCTAGCGGAGGCTGACAGGACTGTCCAGCCTGGGACAGCACGCGATGGTGCATAGGAGGTGTTTTAATGATTATTCGTTGAACGAACGAATTAATGAAAATTTTTTTTAGAAGACGAGGAAGAAGAAGGACTCAGGATCAGGGCTGACAAAAAAAAAAAAATTTTTTTCCGTTTAAAACAAAACAAAACTATAACAACAACAACAAAAACAGTTGCCAGAAGGGAGTGAACCGAAGTCACCGAGAAACCAAGTTGAAGTTCACCCTGATTCAGCCAAAGCCTGCTGGGGCCTGAGAGGACGGGAAGGGGATCGTTTTAAAAGGCGGGGGTCAATCGGGGAATTTCCAGAGGGCAAGGAACAGGGACGCACAGAAAAGCGGGAAGAAGCGAGTGCAAAGAGGCTGAGAACAAACTGGGGAGACAGAACAGGACGAAATGGGGCAGGGAGGGGATCCGGAGAGCGGACTGGGGCAGGGAAAGAGAAATGGAAAAACGCACGGGGAGGTGACCGCCGGGGCAGCCTGGGAGCAGCACACGCAGGTCAGACAGGTTTTTGGTTCCCGCTCCTTTATTTCCTTAAAAATCTTCTTCTAAATTTACACAAGGAACTGGTAGCCACGGTGGTGATGCGGGGGGCAATCAGGGTGTTGCAACCCGGGTGGGGTGGGGTGGGGAATTACTTTTCCGGAGATACCTTTTATCACCTATTGAATTTTTAACTTTATGCAAGTATTGCCTTTTTAAAAACGTATTTTAAAAAACCTCTCTTTCAGTCTCTACCTCCAGGCAGCCCACCCAACTTCAGCTAGGGCGGGTGGGAACACCCAGTCTACACCCTCTCCACCCCCACCCCCCCACCCCATTTCACCGACGAGGACACTGACCGAGACTCGCTGGAGGGAAGCGACCCGTCCAGGATCACAAAAGAGCAGAAACCAAAAGGAAATTTTCCATCTATGTGGATATCACGCTCAAGCTTTGGGAAATGGGGGCGGGGGGCGGGGGCAGAAAACTAGGGGGTTGGCAGGGCGGACAGGAATCCCGGGAGAGGAATGGGGGGCAGAGGGCAAAGGACCCGGGAGTGAGGCGGCGCGGAACTGAGCCGGCCGAGGGCTCTGCGTGCCTCCCAGAATGGCCAGATGCCGGGATCCCGGGGCCGCTCGCCCCGCTCTGGCTCCGGCCAGCCGGGGCTGGGCCTTTCCTTTCTCCCGCAGAAGGAGCGGGGAGCTGGAGAGGGGCCTTTTCCCCCCGGAACCCCTCTTCATCCTCGCGGGACGCGGCCGGACGCCAGGACCCGGCAGATTTCTCCAAACAACGCGGGTCTTTCTGCTCTGCCGCGTCGGACCGCAGATGTGGGGTCCGCGAAAATGAGGTCCGAGCCATCCGAGCTCCAAACAGGGGTCAGCAAAGGGGTGGGTGGGCAGAGGAGGGTCCCACAAAGCGCCACGGGAGTCTTACCTGTGTCGCCGCTTCTTCCGCTTCTTGGTCTGGTTTAAAGCCGACTTGGACATTTTTCGGTCGCTGGAGGAAACATCTTCAGAATCTGGAAGCCGGGCGGAGGGACATGCGGCAGAATGGGGCGCGTTGGCCGCCTAAGGCCCGCGAAGGCCGCACTCCTGGCCGCCTCCGGGAGAGGCAGGGCTCTCCACTGTCTCCCCGGGAAGCCCTCCGGAACCTCTGGCGTCCGTCCCATCCCAAAGCCCAGACTGGCCCCACCCATGGCGTCCCCGAATAGGAAGATTTAGAACAGATTTCGTTGTAAGAGAGGCCAAGCTAGCAGCCCCAGAGGGTTGGCACATGGGCGGCGCGGGAGCAGGCAGCCTCAGGGGCGCCCGGCCCTCCGGCGGCGCTTGAAGCCGGGGCGCCCCGGGTCGGAAAGTTGGCCCCAAAACGCGGAGCTCGGGCGCGGGGAGCTGAGAGCAGGGAAGGGCTGGGGGCTCCCCGGGCACAGCCCCTTTCGCAGTGCCCGCACAATGCGCCCCTGGTCAATGCTGGAGAGCCTGTGGCGCGCCACTTTTCGTTGCCCCCCAAATAAAAACTAACAAAAATAAAGCGAAAAACCAGGGGAAGAGGTGAGAGAGAACAGAAGGCGGAGGGGCCGAGCGGGCGGGGACGGAAGCCGGGAAAATTGCCCGGGGAGGGCGCGGCGGGGTCATTCAGGGGCCCCCAGGAGCCGGCCAGGCGCCGGGACCCAGTATATTGCAGCGCTTGCGGTAGCCGGGTAGTCCGGGATCGTGGGTGAAAAATAAACCCTAGGCGATCAACGAAGGGGTTTTGGAATGGAGAAAAGACAACTTTGGACCCAGGGGCTGGGGCTGGAGCCTGCACCCCAGTGTCCGCCGCCTGCGCGTGGTGGAGCAGAATGGGGCTCCCGGCGCGCGGTCCTCCGAAGGCCGGGCCGAAGTGGAGCAGCCAGGCTGGGGGCCTGCAGCCTTCCCCGAGATCCCGCACCAAGGCTCCGACACCCCACACCTCCGTTGTCACTGGGGCCCCAGCGGGGCGCCGCGGCCGAGCCGGGCCCGACGCAGAGACTGAGGAAGAGCGCGGCGGCAGGAAACGCCGGGGCCGAACCGCGGCGGGCGCGTGGAGCATCCTCCGGCCCCCGGCCCGGGCGCGCGGGCCCCAGTCCCCGCCCGCGCGACCCAGCGGCCTGGAGCGAACTTTTCCGAGCCGAGGAGCTCTGTTAGGCCGGCGCGAGCCGACCGCGCGGGGCTCCTGGCTCTCGCCTGGTGTCAGGGCACCGCGTCGCTTCGCCCTCACCTACCCGAGCTGGCTGTCTGGCTGGTGTCCAGCGGCCCGGACGCTCTGCCCAGCGGCTGCAAATGGACGCTCTGCGGGTCGGACAGCACTTCCAGGAAGGTGGGCTGCGCGTAGAAGCCAGGGAGTCCCCCGGGCCCCAGCAGCCCCATGCCGCCCACTCCTGCGGGGGTGAGCACAGAGCGCGCCGCCAGCAAGTGCCCGGGGGCCAGGCCGTCGAGGGCGGCCCGCGGGTGGGAGCTGGGAGGCTCCTTGTTTAAGCCCAGGATTTCCTGGATGCCGAAGCCGGTGCACCTGGCCGGGGCGCCCCCCGAAGTACTCTTGGCCACTGTCTCGGCTCTGGGCTTGCTCACCACTTCCCCTGCTTTTCCCGTCATCTCCCGGCTCTTTGGAGGGGCCGAGGCCGCAGGTCTTTGGCTCCCCCCGCCCCCCGTCGGCCTCCCCGCTTCTCAAAGTTGGTCCCAGGTGCCCCCTCCGGTGTCTAATGCTCTGGAGCCCCAAGGAGATTCCCCTTTTATCCAACCAGGCGGCAGCCCAAGTAGGGTCAGAGCTGAGCAGCCAATCACCGGGGCCAGGAGCGATTAGGAATTCCAAAAAGCTGGCAGCTCCCGCCACACTCAGCGCCGAGGGGCCAGGGTGCAGGGGGCCGGGCACCAGGTGGGCTCTGCAGGATGCCCATGGGCAGGGGCCCCAAAAGTGAGGTGAGGCAACGAGGTTCAGAGCTGTGCTAAGAGGCAGGTGGCTTGGGATTCTGGGCAGAGCCTGGAAGGGATATGTCCCTGGCTTGACCAGAACAGGTCCATGGGTGGGGTGGGAGGATGGGACGAGGGCTGAGACTGGAGCCTGGGAGTCTCTCCCTCAACTCCTGTGCAGGTCTGCAGGGTCAAATAGGCCCAGATATGGAGCTCTGTGTAAAAAGTGGAACAAGGGAGGGGCAGGTGCCCTGGACAGTGTGTGTGGTGGCCCTGGGGAGAAAAGAAGGGGCCAGGGCTAAGAAGAGGAAGACATGGGGTGAGGAGTGGGGGGAAGCTCAAAGCTTGTCTCCCCAGCACACAATAGAAGGGCCTAGTTCCAATGAATGAATGATGAAGAGTCCAGGAAGATGGATCCCAGTGGGAAAAGGGAGGAGTGGTGACTTCTTTCGAACAATCATGGATATCTGAACGTCTTTGTAAAATAAGTATGAACTATGCCCACCTTCCATGGAAGGACTTCATTTATCCTTCCATCCATTCATTCCACTAATATGTATTGAGCATCTCCTAGCTCTGAGCTAGGAGCTAGAGATTCTGCAGTAAATCAGACAGATAAGGCAAGGGTGGTTGTTATAGCTCAGAGTTCACGGAGCAAACAGAATGAAGAGGATGTGATTGTTGATGGAGAGGGAGAGGTGGAAGGCAATAAAAAGGTGAACTTTTTTCCTCCTAGTTGATGGGAATCCCTTGACCAACTCCTGAGTTGGAAGCTGTGGAATTGCGGCCAATTGTGCCAGTTGAAGGGAGCCCTGGTGGCACAGTGGTTAAGCACTTGGCTGCTAAACAAAAGGTTGGTGGTTTGGAACCCACCAGCCTCTCTGTGGGAGAAAGATGTAGCAGTCTGCTTATGTAAAGATTATAGCCTTGGAAACCATGTGGGCAGTTCTTCTCTGTCCTATAGAGTCTCTAAGAATCGACTCTGACAGCAATGGGTTGGTTATTGGCTGGTGCTCCTTGAAAAGCTGTAAGATGTGGCAGGAAACTGGAGAGAGAAAAGCCTGAATTCCAAAGGTGGGCAGTTGTGCTGTTGGCTTCCCACCCAGCTCAGCCGATGGAGCCCTGCTTGAAGGTTTAAGGAAGGCATGGTTCCCTTGGGCCTAACCCAAGTGACATTAGCAAAGGTGATTTTTACCCACACACACGCATACCCACACACTCCACGGGCCCCTGGGCCCTTGCACTCCACCACTTCAGCTAACTCTTCCATAACCTTCTTGGGGTTGAGGACTGTCCTTATCTTAGCATTCCCCTCGCCACTGTGCTTAGCATACAGTACCGTTTTTTTTTTTTTTTTTTTGGAATAATATTTTATTGAGTTTTTGGTGAAAGGTTACACAGAAAGTTAAGTTCCCATTTGACAATTTCCACACAAGTTGTTCAGTGACATTAGTTGCATTTATCGCAACTTGTCAACATTCTCTATAATTGTGTTCTGTTTGTTCCCTTTCGGTACTCTAGTTTCCCTGTCTCCTTATCTTCTCATCTTTGCTTTTGAGAAATTGTTGACCTTTTGGTCTCATATGGATTTTTTTAAGCAGAACATCAATCTTACAGGTAATATCCTTTATTTTGTGTGCCACTGTGCTATTTCCATAAAAGTGATCTTGAGATAGACTTTGTTCCAGGTTTAAAGAGTGTCTCAGGGAGATAGTCTGGGGGGTTCGCTGTTCTCTACTGTTCCAGTTTGTCTGGCTTTTCTTTTTTTTTAATAAGAATTTGAGTTTTGCTTCATATTTTTTTTCCCATTCTATCTGGGACCAACTATTGTGGACCAGTCAGAACAGGCAGTGGCGGTAGCTGGGCACCATCTAGTTCTTCTGATCTCAGGGTAGATGAGATTAGGGCTCTTGTAGACTTGTTTCTTCTCTGCACTTTTGGTTACCTTCTTACTGTTTTGCTCCTGGCAAGTCGAGACCTGCAGCTGTGTCTCTGATGGCCACTCTCAAGCTTTTAAGACCCCAGATGCTACTCACTTTACTAGGATGCAGATCATGATTTTTGTGAATTATGTTATGCCATTGACTGAGTTGTCTCATGAGACTATGATCTTAAGCCTTCAAAGCCAGAAAACCAATGCTGGAAGACCCCTGGTGGCACAGTGGTTAAGAGTTGGGCTGCTAACCAAAAGTCGGCAGTTTGAATCCACCAGCTGCTCCTTGGAAACACTATGGGGCAGTTCTACTCTGTCCTATAGTGTCGCTATGAGTCAGAATTGACTTGACAGCAGTGGGTTTGGTTTTTTGGTTTTGGTATAGATACTTCTAGGAGCACTGGTGGCGCAGTGGTTAAGCGTTTGGCTGCTAACTGAAAGATTGGTGGTTCCAAACTACTGGCCACTCTGTGGGAGAAGGATGTGGCAATCTACTGGAAACGTTATGTGGCAGCTTTACTTTGTCCTATAGGGTCGCTGTGAGTTGGAATCAACTCAATGACAATGAGTTTGGTTTTTTACTTTTATCTGTTCTCAACTACGTATGCATCATATAGTAGGTTTTAAATAAATGTTTCTTGAACTGAAGGCACCCTATGAGGGGAGATAAAGACAGGGATGATTGCCTTGGGCAGAGGCTGGAACACCAGGTTAGTGGGGAGATTCCAGTCAGGATTACTTGTCCAGGCAGCTGCAAACCCCCAAACGGAAGGAACCCTCCTCATCATCCCCACTGCCAAGGGACCTGGTACCCTCTGTGGCTGCCATGGGGCCAGATTGAGAGGTAAGAGGAGACCCGATAGAATGTAGGACCGAGGTCTCGCTAACAGGGTTTTTGTGACGCGGGTCTCCACCGCTCTGGTCTGGTCCACATGAGAACTGGAACTAGGCAGGGACGTTTCACAGTGCGGGAGGTGTCTGGGAGAGGTGCGCTGTTCATGCCAAAGGCCGCCTCCTGACCCTGTAATAATGCCACGCATACTGTGCTCCTACACTGTCCCAGCCCCTTTACATGGCATAAAGCTCTGGTCCTCACAACAAAGCTGTTAGCAAGGCCATGGTTCTACAGCTGAAAGTTGCCATAACGATTCTTACTTGGAAGGTAGAGCCTCAGGGATGTGCGATCACGGGGGCACCCTTCACCTTGTATTCTATGGAGTCGGGTTCCAAATGGCACCACTCACATAGACAACAGTGTGAATGGTGCCCCCTGGAGTTGTGCAGAGCTGTGGCCTTGCCTGCCAAATAAGAATTTCTATCTGCATTTTATGGATATGGAAACTTAGGTTACCCGAGAGGTTAGGTAACTTATCCCAAGCTACCTGCCTAGTAAGCAGCAGAGGCCAGACTCAACCCTAAATGAGTCTAATGTCAAAAGCCATTCTCTCTTCTTTTCCCCCCTCTCTTGTTTTTTTTTTTTTTTTTTTTTGGCTTTTTGAAAATAATAACTTTATTGAGATATAATTCACATACCATAAAGTTCACCATTTTTAAGTGTACAATTCAGTGATTTTTAGTATTATTCACAAAGTTGTGCATTGATCAACACTATCTAATTCTAGACCATTCTCACCACCCCAAAAGTAAACTTCATATACATTAGCAGTCACTCTCAATTCCCTCCCTTACCCCCAGCCCCTGGAAACCACTAATCTACTTTCTGTCTCCATTGATTTGCCTATTCTGGACATTTCATATAAATGGAATGATAATATGTAGTCTTTTGTGACTGGCTTCTTTACTTAGCATAGTGTTTTCAAGGTTCGTTTAGGTTGTGGCGTATATCAGACTTTTATTCCTTTTATGGCTGACTGATTTCCCATCAAATGGATATACTACATTTTGTTTCTCTGTTCATCAGTTGATGGGCATTTGAGTTGTTTCCATCTTTTGGCTATTATGAATAATGCTGCTATTAACATTTGTGTGGATATATGTTTTCATTTCTCTTGGGTGTATGCATACCTCTTCGGAGTAGAATTGTTGGTCATACGGTAATTCTATGCTTAACCATTTGAGCAACTGCTAGACTGTTTTCCACAGCAACTTCACCATTTTACATTCCCACCAGCAATACATGACGGTTCCAATTTCTCCCCATCTTCACCAACACTTGTTACTGTCTGTCTTTTTTATTAATACCAACCTAGTGATCTTTTCCCCTCTCTTAATCTTTTACTTTTTGATTTTGGAGGGTGGGAGAAGGGAAAGTAGTAGAAGGAGGCTTGGAATTGTCTTCAGTCTTTGATGGACCTTTCTCAATCTGCCCAGACCTCAGCATGCCTCAGGTCAAAGCCAAAAGAACCAGCTGGCTGTCAGGAAAAGTGCAGGACTGGAAGTCTCCTTGATCATCAGCCTTTTAAAAAATTTTAAAAAGCCATTCTCTTTTTATTTCATCCCTCTCTCGGCCTTTTCGCTCTGCCAGCCTACCTGGGGAGAATGGATGGAGATGTTATGTTAATGGCATCTGTCATGTCTCTAACTTACCATGGGACAATCATGATGAACCAGATGCCAGCCTATGGGCAGGGATATGAGTGATGGAAAACCAGGCATGCAAGTGATGGGAAGCTCGACTCTTGCCAGGAGATGAGGATGAAAAATCTCTGGACCAAACCCCGTGCCTGAAACTGCCAGTTTCCACACCCAGGGAGACAGTTACCATCCTGCCCAAGGAAGGAGGCTGAGGATGGGGCAACCTTAGGCCCTCTGAGAGGTGCCCTTGCCAGAGG